ATCTTAAAACTTTTTGGGTTGCTTGGCTTGTGAAAGCATACATCTGATCATTTCCATGATAGTGCAGTTCATCGTCTCTATAATTGTATTATGCTGAGGTGTACCAGGGACTATCATCTCATGTTGGATGTCATATGATCTGCAATAATCATTAAACAATCCTATGTACTTACCACCATTATATGATCTTATACATTTCAATTATCTTTTTATCTTCCTTTCAATTTTGGCATAAAACTCTTTGAAAATATTAATAACATGATCTTTAGTCTTTATAGCATAAGCCCAAACTTTTTTAAAAAAAATCATCTATAAAAGTAATAAAATAAAGTACATCATTGATACTAGGAACATTAACATATCCACTATGAGTTTTGATCCTCAAATGATCGCATACATCTATATAAACATAGTCTAAGACATACTTTATTTTATAAAGTAGGATTAGCAAATGAAACTTTGTGTTATTTACTAGCCAAATAATCAATATAAGGGTTCAGACATAATATACCTTTAAGGTCTACTAATACCTCTCCTTTGAAAAGAACTTGTAGTCCCTTCTCGCCCATGTGTCTCAATCGCTTATGCCACAACTTCATACTGAAGCCTTTCTCTATGGCATTCAATTGCTTACCACAAGCTTTGGCCTACAATCTCTACAAAGTATAACATTTCTTCCTACTAGCCATAATAAGAGAACCTTTACTGAACTTCCATTGCCCTCTATGAAATATACTATCAAAGTTTTCATCATCTAGCCTTCCAATTGAAATTAAATTCAGCCTCAAGTCAATCACATGCCTCATATCCTTAAGTACCAACTTGCAACCAATGTTAGTCTTTATATGGATATCATCCATGCTGATGATGTCTACCGTGTCATAGTTGCCCATCTTGACCACAAAAATTTTCAAACCTATAGGTAGCAAAGAACTCCCTCCATAGTGTAGTATGATAAGAAGCACCTATATCAATCACTCACTCAAGATCCTAATATACACAAGAAAAAATATTATCAGAATGAGACAAAATCAAATAATCACCCCCCTGCATAATAGTTATGGTATTATATTTTGACTTTGTAGGCTCCACTTTTTTTTTCTTTTTTTATTTCTATTCTTAGGTTGCTTGTATTAATTCTTGTAATTATCCTTTCTCACCATAATTGTAGCAAACAATATATTTCTTAATCTTGACTTGCTTCTACTCATGTGTAAATCACTTCTATCCTTAAATTTTAACATTCCTCATTTCTCTAAAATAAGTGCCTATGAATCAATCTGAGATATTGTTGAATTCTTTCTTCTTAACTCTTCATTCAACAAATTGCTAATTACTTGACTCATAGTGACAACACTATTTGGCATAGAATTATTGAGAGAAACCACTAGCGTCTCTCAACTTTTTGGCAATGAACTAAGAAGTAACAATACTTGCAACTCATCCTCAAGAGACATTTATAGAGGATAACAGGTTTGTGATACTTTGCATTTCATTCAAATGCTCAACAATAGAAGCACGCTCTTTATATTTCAAGTTCACAAGTTTTATAATCAAGAAAACTTTATTGCTAATCATTTTTATTTCATAGAGATATTCTAACTTTTTCCAAAGAGAGTATTAAGAACTTTCAGTAGAAATATAGTAAAATATACTATCATCGAGCCATTGTCAAACAAACCTGACTATTTTTTAGTCTAACCTCTTCCACTCATTATTTGCTATAGTTGTGAGCTTTGCATTATCCCTTTGCAAAGGTCTATACAAATCTTTGTAATACAAGATATCTTTCATTCTTGGTTTTCATATTATCCAATTATTTTCATTCAAGTTAATCATACGAAAAACACTATCGGCCTCCATGTTCAAATACAAAAATTAAATATCATCAAAACTTTGCTCTAATACTAGTTAATGGGATAAAAAGAGAACTTTATATACGAACAAATATAAGTAGGCCATAAAACGTAGCGAAAATAAATAAAAATTATAATAAAATAAGACACCAAGATTTACGTGAAAACCCCTCTAACATGAAGGATAAAAATCATAGGATAAGCTAAAGAAAATCTACTATAAAAATAATAAACATACAAATCTCAAAGTTTCTTACCTAAAACTCAAGCAACAATCATAAGAGAATAATTGGGATGCAATGATTATGTCACTAGAACAATATCCAAAATCTTCCTAAGTGATCATAGTAAGAATTCAACATAAATATGATCTTAAGATGAAAGAGCTTCTGTATTATCCTTGCCTTCTTCCATTTTTTTTCTTGTTTTCTGTCCTCAACTACCAATGTTGCTTCTCCTTTTTTCACAACCATTTTTCTGCCCTAGTCGTCATACTTCTTAGTTAAAAGAGTTAACGTTTAAGTTACATGAGAAAAGAGTTAAGGTTAAAGTGGATTATGAATTATTAAAACTCATTATTGGCTGAATAATAGATTATCTGTCCAATAAACTATCACAGCACCAAAAACTTATCATCGGAGGAAGAAGAGAAGAAGAAAGAAAGATAGATATCAAGTGGTGAGGGATAAAAGTGCTGTCTTCTCACCAAGTCAATTGCTTGATGCTGCAAAATAAAATGCTCTTTCAAGCTTTAACGAGCAAGAAATAATACTACGAAACCAGAGATATTTTGGGATTGGTAATGCTAATTTATGCACTTTGCGTGAAGTTTTCCTGTAGTCCTTAGAAAGTTTATCCTTGACTTGTGTTTCTTTCTCTGTTAATGTAGGACAATTCTTTTGCTTAAGTTGAATGTTCATTTTAGATTTTGAGGCCTGGCATGAAGATGTGGCTTGATGAAGGCTTCAGGGTTGTGATGGTCAAGTAGCTTTTCTATTACATTCCTTTATTATTACTTGTTTTGGTAGATTTGGAGAGCCATGGATGATAAAAGTGCTTCCTATGGGTTGTTTCTTAGAGTTGTTCCTTCCACCATTTCTTATGAGGAAGTTCTTGAGTGCTCAAGGAAATGGTCTCAAATAGAAGCGAAGTGGAACAAACAAGCCTTTGTTGCTGGTTTAAATTAATTTGAAATGAATTTAAAAATAAACATGATATGGTAGGTAAAAGATTAATTTTAAGAGGGAAGAAGGTATATGGAGCTTTTAAGGAGTATGCTCTATTTGGAAGCTGCTGCTATCCGAGAGAGAAATGAATGTGACTTTACGAGAGGGAGTTCATCGACGAACTTATCGAGACTGATTCTTAGTTTCTTTCTCATATTTTATTAGGAACCTTCATTGTTCATTGGAGCATTCTCCTTATGATTAGAAATATTCAATTTGATATCTATTTGGAGAGGAAAATGATCCTCCAAGTTTTTCTTTGCTAATCTTCTTCAACATTTAGGGTGAATTTTATACTCGTTTTAGAAAGTAATCCTTTTTTTTGTTTTAGCAAAAAAAAAAAAAACAAAAGACAAAAACGAGAGAGAGAGAGAGAGAGAGAGAGAGATAGAGCTAGATAGATAGATAAGCTCTCTCTCTCACTCTCTCTCTCTCTCTCTCTCTCTCTCTACTAAACTAGGCTACTAGAGATAGCGAAATTATGCTTATTTACACTGAGATAGATAAGCTCACGGTGTGAGCGTTGGAATCATGAAGCGAAAGATTATATGTCGTGGGAGATACTATCCAAAGGTTCAACCAAAAACACCAGTCATTTAGTCCCTTACAGACCCAATAAAAATAGTGCTGCTCTCAATTTAGGCTTGTGTCATCTTGAAATAAACATCATTCTCATTGACACACACACTATCATTTTACACAGCCCAAATCAAGAAAGAAAGGTAGGTGGTTTTATGATTGGAGAGAACTATAAAGTTCATGGGAGAATATTTAGGCATCTCTACCTTGTTGCTATCGTCCTATGTGTCCTTCTAACCAAAGGCATGAAGATTGAAAAGAAAAAAACAATGAATATGGGAAAATAATGAGTTCTACCAAATAAAATTTTTCTCCCAAAACAATTTCCAGACTTTTTTCTCCCTCATAATAATGTTTTTTTTCCTTTCTTTGCACACAATCTCCAACAATGCTAACAAAAGAGTAAAAAAAAGATCAACATAAAGTTCCAATTGGACATAAAATATATAGTTAAATAGACCAATTTAAATATTAAACTCTTGCTACATTAATTTATGTAGTATATAGGATGGTCTTTTTTGTAATTTTGATAGACGGATTTGAGATACCAACAAAACATAGTTAACGCCGTTCATTAATGAACGGAGAACTTCCATCGAGTCTATGCACCAATCCTTTTTAATTCTAGTTTTATTTTTTTTTATTTATGAAATTAAGGATTTAGGCTCAAGATTATTCATTTTTAATCCTAGCAACTCTCTAAATTTGGAAGTTATCACTTAGAAGGTTTTCGCTCAATCAAATTCCACCCTATTGTTCCTTTGATGCCAAGATCTATTTGGAATTCCACCTGTTCGTTTATTTTGTTTGCTTGAACCCACACATAAATTTGCTATCTATCTTCAGAGATACAAATGCTAACCCTTTATCACTTCAAGTTTCTCAATAAAACTTTACATATTAAGTATTATTTAAATGATTTTAAATATATATAAAAAAAGATTCATCTTAAAGGTAATAAATATATTATTCATGATGTTGTTTACGTGTAAGGACATAACGGTCATGCTGTGATCCACCGTCCGATCGTCCATCAGCGCTTCTTTTAGCCCACAACGAAACAATACGAAATCGGCGGCCGCGCGCTTTCGTCGTTTAAATCGCGTCGCTTCGAAACTACCCGCTCCCTCCTCTCCCTCCCAACCCTCCATGACTCGCTCGGCCGATCCGATCCCACGCCGGCTACCCCAACCCCAACCCTTACGTCTACGGCGCTCCTCCCCCGCGGCCCCCGCCGCACGCTGTCCCCCACTATCCCTACTGGGCCGGCGCGGCTCCGCTGCCGGCGCCCCCTTCCGAGCCGCGCAGTACCGTCTTCCTCCGCAGCCTCTGCGCCGTCATGATCGCCTCCTTCCTCGTCCTCTTCGTCTTCAACCTCGTCCTCTGGCTCGTCCTCCGGCCCAACCTCCCCGAGATCGCCGTTTCCTGGGCCGCCGTCTCCGGCTTCAACCTCACCGCCGCAGCCCAGCGGCTGTCCGCCGATTTCAACCTCTCCCTCACCTTTCACAACCCCAACGACAAGTTGGGCATCGACTACGACGAGATCGGCGTGACCGTCCTCTACGACTCCGAAATCATCTCCTATGCCCCGATCCCGCCCTTCTATCAGGAGAATGGGAGCACCACCGCGGCCGGTGCCCGCCTGGTATCGGCGAGCGAACACCTAAGCTCGGACGCCGCGAAGGCGATGGACTGGGATCGGAGCCATGGCGACGGGGCCCTGAACTTCGTTTTCAGGGTGTTCGCATGGGTGAAGTTTGGGTCGGGCGCGTGGTGGACGAGGAGGGACGCCGTGATGGCGCACTGCAAGGATGTCCGCATCGGGTTCGGTAACGGGACGGTGGCAGCGGCCGGCGATCTGGTTGGCCCTTCGCCCAAGAATTGCTTGGTTTTAATGTAAGCAACTCCTACTCTTCGTCGTTCTTTTACAAGGCCAAGGTTATGTAAATGTAATTATGATTGTGTAATTACTGCATACAACTACGTCTATCTCGTTCTATTTACTATTGACTATCTAATTATCCATCTCCCATGTCATTTGTATCACAATGTGAGTGATTGTTTATCATCTTATTTTTCTATCAATAACATTACATCTAAAAGCTTTACCTATTAGACGAGACATGCTCTATTGATTTATATTCAAACAACACTTTTCACGCTCCTCACATGCTTCAACATGGGAAATTTGAATTAACCAGATCTAGACAAATTTTGAACAGGAAACTGAGACTTTCTTAAATTTTGTAATATGTAGAAAGCAGTGCAGAGATTTTTACCTGTTGAATAGAAATATGATGGGAGTCATTGCTGGACTGAATTAGACCCATTCACAGACATATTAGGTGGTAATTACCATTGTGTGCAAAAGCATGGATCTCAGAGAACAGATAGTAATTACTCAGATCATGGCTAGTAGCTGTAGAGATGACATCTGCAAGAGTGCAAACCTTGACGTCATAGTTCAACATTTTTCCTTGCTCACAGTTCCAGGTAAATGACACCACACGCCGAGAAAGTGTAGTCTTGGATCGTTGCCACAAAAATACACTGATGAGCAAGAAATTTTTGCAACAGGGGAGTATGTTAGACTTGGAAGAGGCTTAACTGACAGTAGATTTAAATCTAGAGCTTGGGAGTCAAACTTAGAAAAAAAAATCCCATGTCTTGAATTCTCAACCCCAAGGAATGATAGGATTCTCATTTGCCAGTGCCCTAAACTATGCGTCACAGAAACTTACCTACCACCAAGATTGAGCTTTCCCAAGTCCAACATCTGCCAATTTATCCGCGAAGGATCTAATTCAGAAGGGTCCATCTCAAAACATGCAGCCACACTTTTGCTTCTCCGGTGGCGCCCACAAATCATTCTCAACCTCTCTGCTTCATTCTTCAGAGACTGATGTTGACCTATCAAAATCCACAAAGGTTGAATCAGATTTAAAATTTTAAAAGAAACTACAAGCAGCATCAGAAGGTATGCAAGTGATTGTATCTTTTGAGGATGACATAGTGTATAAAGTTCTAACATATAAAAGTCCAACAAATGAATCTGCAAGATGGTTGAGGTAAAATTATGCTGATGAATGCCTAAGAAATACACAGAAGATAGGTAGACAAATGTTGCAGGCTAGTATGACATCAAAACTGATATTTTCCCAGAAATAATATGTATCTAGTTAGGTTTTTTCATAACATGCATGGTAACTAGCACAGCTTGAAGAGTTCACAAGCTTCATCCCTCTTTACTACAGTTTTTGCCAAGGACAATAAAACTATCCACATATATTCCAATATCCAGATAACAGACAGGACTTAGATTTTTCCAACATTGAAACATATTAGGTACAGCTGACTAGAGTTCCAACTTGTTCATGAACATCTTGCAGCAATCAGCAATATCAAAAGATACCTTAATCTTTAATAAATGACCTTAATCCTGATTTCAATATAATTAGTCTTTATCTTTTTCTTAAAGGTGTCCAAAAAATTTACTGAAGCAGGAAAACAACAAAGAGATTGGCATACCATCCTTGATATTTTTTTCTTGTCGAAGACTGGCAATCTGCTGCCTTAGTTTCTTGTTTTCCATGGATAAAGCAAGACGGTACTGAAACAGAGAAGCAACTCTAGTGGCCAAATCTGCTCCCAGTGTCTACAAAAAAAGGTAAATAATGTTTCCATCAAGAAAATCCAGGGTGAGAAATCCAAAGCATGAACTGCATGATTACCTGAAGCATGTCAACAGTTCTCTCAAGCTCAGCAATATATTGGAGTTTACGAACCCTAGATCGTTGACCCGAGTGCCTGCAGAAACTTCTGTATCTCAGAATCGCAACAATTCACATAAATTGGGGAAAGATACTTCATAAGACTCGTATACTTGCCAAATAGATAAGGACAAGATGAAACAAGAACTTCAGCAAGGAAGAAGACATTAAAAGTCATATAAGCTGTTAATAGCTGCCATATGCAACATGAATTATAAAAGTGAAAAGTATTACTGGAGAAATCAAGACTATGGTGAAAAGAATTATAGTACAATGTCTAAAGGACCAAGCAGGGCCCATTTGAAACACACATGTTCTCTGAAATTGTCTATTAATTTGACAGTTCTTTTTTTCAAATTAACCAACTGGAAAAACAACCACTAAAAGGAAAAGCTTTCTTGCTATGACAAAAAAATCAACGCATTGTATAGTTGTATGATACATGAATTCCAGTTACAAAGGTTAAATAAAAATAGGGTACTTGGCACATGACTTTTGCTTCAAACATTTCATACAAAAGTGCTATTATGTAGTGTATGAACTATGTGACATGATAGTGAATCACAAGCATATTAAAAATAAACTAGACATTCTGCATAAACAGTGTTGGTTCTTCAAAATGATTGCATCACATTGATACATGCTATCCCGACATCTCATGTTGCAAATGATAACAACACCCACCAACTTTCTTCGCTATATCACAGGATGAGTCACATAGTACTTGGCAGTGCCAACCCATCTTACGTGCGTAGACATAAATTTCAATCTTTTAGTTCATCAAATCTTATTTGCAAATACCCAAACAAAGTCTCACTGCATAGAAGTATCTTAAGCAGTTCCCTGACTTTTTGAGAAAGCATCTAAACGGATGATGGATGATGATCAGCATCAAAATAGGGGCCTTCAATATTCGCAGGGTCAGGATCTGGATGATGATCAGAATTGGAGAGGATAGTGATTGATTCCAAGTCAACTGACTAGGATCACAGGATCTTTTTATCTTTTTATTGAAATATCCAAAAAGCAAAAAGAGAGCAACAAGATTAATTGGAACTTGGAAATCAACTGGGTTGGCTAAGATCAGCAGAGATTGGCATGGCCAATCAAGATTTGACAGGATTTCTTTGGCTGACAAGATTTGTTTTGGAAATCAACTGGACTAACCTGGGATCAGTCAAGAAATCAGTCGACATCATTGATCCCCAAAAATCGAGGTCCTTTTTTTTTATCTTGGCTTGTCTCAAATTTGATCAGCCAGATCAGGTTGGGATCAGTCCGCCTTACTAACCAAGGTAACTTCATGTATCAATGAGAAAATTGTAATCCCCAATTGGAACTACATGCTTATGCTAAACTAGTGGAATAAAATCCGGATGAAAACTTAGCTAGCAAATGTGTCAGTTTAAGAACATAATACATTGACGAAAAGTTAACACTTCATATTAAGATTAATTCACCCATCTTCTAAACCCCAGTCAGCAACTTCATACATTGGCTTAAGAATTCTCCACATGTTTACTAATGGTAAAAATAATGATTTCTACATCTTTATCCTGACGAATTTTGTCATGCTTGATCTATGGAAAATGTTGAAGCTGCCAGAATTGCAATCCAAAGGATATTTGACATGATATATCATGTTGATTTTTCACAACAATGGCTGCCTTTCAGTATCATACTGTGATGATCAGATGATGCTTGAGGAACACCAGTTACTTGCAAAACAATTCAATAAAATGAGTGTCTTGGATCCTTGAAATGAGACTGGCATCAGAAACAAAAGGGAAACAGAGCATAAAATAAAACGATAGAGAAGAGATTACCACATTGCCAATTTAATGCAAAGCCTTAGTTAATAAGGATGTACAGAAGAATAAGTTTAAAAGAAGGCAAATGGAAATCTTTCAGCAAAGTGATTGATGCAATGAAGCAAAATCAATGAAAAATGGTTCTATATCAAAATAATAAACTTGAAAGGAGCAAGGCTATAAGAATATGTATAAGTTTGATAGATATATAGTGTGGTAGGAAGTTTCAGATGGAATTCCTAAAGCCAGAATAGCACCAAGTCAACTTTCCCTTAAGTCCTAAAATGGATGCATAAGACATGCATATGCAAAAATGTCATAACTAGGAGGTCCAAAAGCCGACACCCCATATGTAGGGGAGGTTGCCCACAGCAACATTCCACATGATCTCCCAGTTGTTAAAGCACAAGACACAGGCAAAAGATTCTCATAGTAATTCTGCTCATATTGAATGCAAAAGTACTTCTGCAACTAATTAGATTGATATATTTTAAAGGCTATGGATTTTATATAATATTTATTTTCCGGTGACTAAACATGACAAAAGAGAGAAAGAAAAGATTTCCACAAAGCATCTAAGAAGAAATTTTTTCTAACATGACCGCAATATCACTGATTTTTCTGTCAGATATGGCTGAAAAAGAATAATATGAGAAGTATGAATGGGTAAAATAGAAACTGGTTCACCTTCTTTGTAACTTGTGAGAATCAGGATTGGCTAGAGGAGTATAATCATCTTCCATTCCGTGTGGCTTGCTTGTAACAGAGGTGCTTGGATAATCCACAGTTAGATACTGCAGTGGGTTGCTAGGAACATTTTCCAGCAGCGCAGTCACTATTGAGCTCTCAGAGTCAGTCAATTTGCTCCTTTGTCTAGGGGAGTTAGGGCCAAAGACCCAGCTCCCAGCCTCAAACCCACCATCAACTTCGCTGGCTCCCGCAGCCTCCAGAGACTCATGGAGAAGACTGTCAGACAAAGCATCTTCCTCATTGGCCGGAGATATTGGGCCTTGGAAACTTGTAGCCACCTCCAGGAGTGATACTGGATCACTGGAGGATCTCCGCAGAGAGATCCCTCTATGACCACTTGCCGGTTCTGCCAAGAGATCATCTACCCATGATGGTGGTTCATCCATGAGGTTCTGTGCATACGATCCAGTGTCGTTCTGTGGGGTTTGAGGTGCAGAATCGGATGCTCGGCGAGGCACCCCCTTGCTCTGAAATGGGCAGCGAGGAGGAAGGGGGGCTGGCCAAGACATGGTGAGATAAACTACATAAATCCTTTCCTCTATTGCCTAACAATCACCCATCCAAATTGCTCCATGTTTTTTTCTTCTGGAAAGAAAACGCGCACTATGAACATGCATGTTCATTCATAGGGCAAGAAACTTGATAAAAAAAAAAAAAGTTCCCAGAAGAACGCATTGAAAGGAACCTTCAAGAACGAGAAGTCAAACAGAGCAATGTGATTGATTCCAACACAGCAATCCTATTCGTCAAAAGAACACACCGAAGAACAAGTAAATCCGTTCAAATCAATAAAAAAGACGCTTCTGATCTCTCCATTTACTCATTAACAGCCATTGCCATTCCAAAGGGTGGAGATAAAAAACCCTAGCGATCGCCAACGAAACGCGCTGCAGAACAAGGCGAAGCTCCAAGAAGTACAACCCTAAAGGACAAGACTGGACGAGGCCAAAACACGGCCAATGAAACAGTGACCCTAAACTCGCATCAGCTGTGACCAAAACACCAAAATGGCGACCGTGCCAGCAAAACGAAACGAAGCAAAACACCACAATACGACGGAGAGATCGCGAAACAAAAGGCAACAGCTGAGAGGAAACAACATGAGAAAACCTGGAAACGGATTCGAACTCACGGCCGATCCATCGGCACCGAGTTGGGAGAGAGAAGTCGTCTTGTGTTTCGGGAGAGGTAGAGAGGATTCGGTTCTCGTCTCGGCGTTCACAGGCCATACCCATTAACTCTTTGGGGTTTTTTGTGGGTCCCAGCCCGCTTGTTGTATCCAGCATCAACTTGAAGCGCCGCTTTTGCTGGCCGCGTGAAGAAAGAAAAAGAAAAGGCAATATATATTTATATTTATATTTTTATTTATATTTATATATATGTGATCAATTATCCCCAAAAAACAAAAAAAAAATTACTATTAGGCTTTTACCGAATAGTAACCTCTCCTTCCTTAACATTGATGCAGTTGTCATTCCATTGGTTTGATTTATTGTATGGCTTAGACAAATCAGCTGCTTCGGGAAGTGATGGGCATAACATTGGTCTTATGTTGTAAACGCAGTGCAATCTCAAATCGGGTTTACTTCATGCATTGTTTTCGAAATCCACCGTAACCTCTTAGCCGCTGACAATAAACAAAGTCAACCATGTAGGTATTAGTTTGGGCACCGGCAACGTCCTCCTATATGGTTATATTTTATTTAGAACGGAGAGAAGGCATATATATATATATATCATGTGCTTCTGCCGTTAAGTAGCTCTACATGCAAAAGTTAGATCATTTCTTTTCTGATTCGCTACCTCTTTCTACTTCTGAAACTTCTGTTTTGTTAATAATCAATCCTTCATGGTTGCTTGCTACTCGTGGAAATCGCAATCAGTTCTCTTAGGTTAACCACATTCCGTATCTTATTTCTTCGATAAGACAGTTTAAATACACCCTTCCAGCACATTTCATCATAACCATCAGATAATTAAATCACAATTTTATTAGAGTGGAATATTGTGATTGCTAATCCATCTATTACACTGCTGACCGAATGAAAATGAACTTGGTGACTCTTGTTTTTTTTTCTTTTTATAATTTCATGGGGAGGCTTGATCTAATGAAAATAATGGAAAGTTAGATAGCCAACCATTAAAAGACCACAACACAACAATTCGAATAGAAGCATCGATACATTGGGAGGATAGAGAAAGTTTCAAGACATTACTGTGGATCAGGATGGAGCATATACCTCTTTTTTTTTAACCTCATCAGATGTAGTTTAAATGTGTCGCTTGATGCTTAAGCCTATTTTAGTTGATCTCCTTTTCTAGTAATTATTTGTTTTTATGGAAAGTATTGTTTATTTGTTTGACTGGTTTCGTTATGATTTGTCCTTTTAGCAACACAACACTGAGCAACGTTACAGCTATGAGAAAGAAGACACTTGGTTATTAATTGCGTCTTTGATGTCTGAAACAAAACGTGCTAACATATCAATGTGTCCTCCTAAACTTTGATTCTTATACCAAAGACACCATTAGATGTGAAAAAATTTGATGCATGCCTAACAGTGGTGCACAAACCAAACCCTAAGTTCTGTAGGTTTAGAAAGAGTCGCTTGAAATTTTAATATCATTCAATATTATCGTTAAAGATCTTTATAATCGATTCTTTTATAATTATTAGGTAATTTAACAAATCCCCAAATACCATTCTGGTCTATCGATTTTAATCTTTTTTTCTGTTGAAAATAATTATTATAACGGAATAATTTTTTTATATATATCAAAATGGTTCCTCATCAAAATATCAACTTGTTATCAAAAGTAAATATTAACCAAAGTAGTATAAATAGTAGAATAATAAATCAGTCACAAAGTGAGATACTAAAATTTTTAGGTTAAAAACCTAATGAGGAAAAAACTACGGGACTATGATCCATTTCAAACTTCCACTATCACCAATAATGATAATAGGTTTATAGTAAATCTTCTCTATAATAACCAAAGGATCACAATAATATCAAGAACACGGATCTTGGCTCAATATTAGCATATCATCATCATCAAAGATGGATTTTATAAAAATAAAATTTTAGATCTCACAATGTGGGTATGGCTCAATGCTCAAATCATCTAGTCTAAGCCTACATATAAGTTGGACTCAACAATTCTCTCCCTCCAACTCATATGGTGGGTTGTACTAAGCTCGCTCTTCGCCTACATGCTTCAAGCTTTTCCTTAGGTAAATATTTTATCAACATATCTGATTCATTCTCATTGGTATGTATATTTTTCTAGTATAATTCTTTTATCTCAAGCACATCACGAATCTAATGATATCTAATATCAATGTACTTAGATCTAGAATAGTATGTTGAATTCTTGGAGAGATGAATAATACTCTGATTGTCACAGTAAAAAGTCCTTTCTGTTTCAAGCTTAATTCTTGTAGAAATTTTTTCATCCACAGAGCTTTCTTGCAGCTTCAATAATTACTATATATTCTATTTCTGTTGTTAATAGAGTAACATAATTCTATAACTTAAACTGTCAAGAGACTGCTCCCCTTGTAAATGTCATCAAGAATCTCGAATTGGACTACTTGGAATCAATATCACCTATCATGTTTGCATCTGTGTATCCCTCAAGCACAGGTTTATCACTACAAAAACATAAACACAACTTGGAAGTATCTCTTAGATATCTTAATATTCATTCCATTGCTACCTAATATTCCTTATCAGGATTAGAGAAAAATCGACTAATAACTCCAATTGCATGAGCTATATTTGGCATAGTATAAACTATAGCATATATCAAACTACCTACTGGAAATGAGTAAGGCACTCTGAATATTTTTTCTTTTTCTTTCTCACTTGTAAGTGTTGAATCTCGTATTTTGATGATGAAACTCCTTGATATATGTTTATGATTTAATCTGCGTTTTGAGTGACGCAGGGTGCTTCGATCAGGATGAGACAATTAAAGCAGGAAAAACATGTTGTGCCGAA